TAGCTTTGGAGTTGATAGATTTACATACAACCCCAGGTAGGTGGCTGGATAGCTGTGTAAAGACTGACCTCAGGTCCTCATCCATAATCTAGGATAAGACCACCTACTTTGTGGGGCTGCTGTATAGATTCAATCAAATGAGATTACTTAAGTAACACATTCAGTAAATTCTTGACACATAGTAGGTACTTAGTAAATTACAGCTTCTCCATTTCTCTTCAACCGCCAAACTCTTTCCCATTCTTCATTCAAGAGCCATTCAAAAATATTCACTATCTCCTTTGTGCCAGGAATCATTCTAGGCACTTAGAATGCACTAGCAGACACACAGACAAAAATTCCAGTCCTCAGGAGGTTTATTTTCCTTAATTGCACCTCAATTCTTCCAAGTTTGGGTTAGAAGCCGCTGACTCTTTATCTCTGTTTCTGCCTTTAGGGCATTATATACTGCAGTGACACTGCTTCCCTAACTCTCTTTCTTCCCACAGTGTGACCACCCTGAGCTCAGACTCCATGCCTGTCCATTCATTGTTTATGGTTTGCTTTATACCTCACTTTCTCTAAGCTAAAAAAAAAAAAAAAAAAAAAAAAAAAAAAAAAAAAAAAAAAAAAAAAGGAAGAAGAAGAAGGAAGGAAGGAAAGAAAGTAAGCAAGTAAGTTAGCTTAGTTTTATCCAGAGTCTTTACTTAGAGAAATCTAAAGACTCCATGGAGACCCAAGGAGCATGGTGGCCAGTGCAGGGGCACTTGGCAGTCAAGTTGAGAAAGAGAAGCTCCCCTGCTCTTTCTTCTCAGATAGGTGCCTAAAGAAATTGGCCATGTGACTTGTGCTTCTGGACTCCAAGAGTGGGTCACAGTAACTGACTGAGGTCAAGTGGCCCGTGAGTTGTAGTCTGCCTTCCACTTGCTGTATCTCAAACTTCAGCCAGCCTGGATGCATGTCTGAGCTCCAGAATTCTGCCTTTGCATTAATACCTCAGATGGTGTGGTGCTGTGGTTGACAAGGTGTTATTTGGAATTAGAGGTGGGTTTTAAACCTGACTCTGCCATTACCAGCTGTATTACATTGGATAAATCACTTTTTTGAGCTTCAGCTTTTTCTCTGAGCTTTACCTCCTCATACATATTTGTAAAGCACTTAAAGCAGAGAGAATATCCAGCAAATGGTTGCCATTGTTGTTGTTATTTTTATCATCACCATTATTATTGTCTGCACACTACACATTTCACTAGGGCATCCTAGGGACTCAGTGAGGACCCCTCTGGGTACTGATTCTCATAGTCTCTGCTAAGTCCCTTTTACTACAAAAAAGTGAATGAATCACCTGTCACCTAAGAACAACGTCTACCCACAGCCAAGAGTTTAATGTGTTGGCCCTTCATTTTACAAAGGGGGAAACTGAAGCCGAGAGACGTGATACAACATGTCTTAATAACATATGGTGAATTAGTAGCAGAGTCAATGCTGGTCCCCTTTCCCTCCATCAGTGTCACTTCTCATCCAATAGAGGGGTTTTCATGTAAGGGAGACAGTCCACATTTCTTCTTCATTCTGGCCAAAAGTAATCAGTCTCCTAGAAATGCCCATTGGGTAAGCACAGAAGCCTCTCCCTTCATCAATGTCATACCTTGGGAAACTATCTCTAGTACAGATAACAGAAAGAATAAATATTTTTGCTGAGAGAAAAAAATGAAGACAAAGGTCAAAGGGAATCATGTAATGGGTTGAGTCAGGAAAGAAAAAGAAAGCATTTTTTTCTCTCTCTCCTCTTTTTCTCCAAAACAGTCTTTATATAGAACTTGTATAAGAGCCAATTTATTTGATATGGAAAAAATGTGAAAGCAGCAAAACATACCACACACACACATGCGTGCACGCACACACACACACACACACACACACACACACACACACACACACACAAAGAGGTATTTGTGTTGGAGTTCAAAACTCGAATTACCAAAAGATAAAGGAGTTGAAATGGTAGGTTGACTTGGAATGATGTTTTACTTGTTTTAGAGTCTCAGAGAACATTCAGGTCAGGAATGTAGTGTAGTCCAGTCTAGGTCTCCAATAAATTCAATGGGACTCAAGAAAGACATAGAGGAAGTCAATGTAGGCCTCAGTCTAGCCATGTGTCTGAAACATAGCCTAAGAAAGATTTGCTGGTGAATGAAAGAACAAATGGCACATAAAAGTGTGGGTCCGACTAGTGGTGGTTCTGGAAGTAAAGTGGTACAAGACTGTTCATTTTTTATCATGTAGTTAAGGTCTTCAGCACTGAAGTGTGAGTGTCTATAGGAAAGGCGCCAGGTCATTCCTGACATACCCAGATCCCAGTGAACACTCTGGCTCACAGAGTGTTCTCAATACATATTCATAAATTGAGTGAGTATTGGGAACGAAACCTTGGAAATCCCAGAGCCTTATTGATCACTTTGAGCAGTGGCTATTAAACTGTATGTAACCACGGGGCACCTGGGTGGCTCAGTCAGTTAAGCATCTGACTTTGGCTCAGGTCACAATCTCACGGCTCATGAGTTTGAGCCCTACGTCAGGTTCTATGCTGACATTTCAGAGACTGAAGCCTGCTTCAGATTCTATGTCTCCCTTTCTCTCTGCCCCTCCCCAGCTTGCACCCTGTCTCTCTCTTTCAAAAATAAATTAAAAACATTAAAAAAATAAATAAAATAAAATAAATGTAGCCAGTCTTAGAGTAATTTGGGAAGACCCTGTAGGCAAGTTTCTGATCAAGTTGTCTAGGCTGAGATCTAAGGACTTGTCCTAAGTTCTCAGGTGTTGTTGTTGCTCCTGGTCTGGGGCAGGAGAACCTGTTTTAGTGCAGTGGTTCTTAAATGTGACTGCACATTATAATCATCTGGTAATATTTTAAAAGACTTGATGGCCAGGCTTTATCCTCTTTACCAATTAAATAAATGCCTGGGGCATTGGTGGAGGGTGGGAGATGGGGGTGGAGAGGGGATGCTGGCGAAACACAAGTGATTTTAAAGTGCCCCAAGTTTCCATAACATGCACTTGACTTTGAGAACCCCCAGCCTAGTACGTCTTCCTCCTTGTAAATTAAGGCTTCTGAAGCCCCAGAAAGGGTAAGTGATTAGCCTAAGATCCTAGAGCAAATCAATGACTATCTGGGAATGGAACTCAGGGGACTCTCACTTCTTCAGATGGATTTCCACCATTCCACATTTATCAACTCAAGTCAGCTCTCACAGGCACACAACTCCAGGCAAAAAAAAAAAAAAAAAAAAAAAAAAAAAAAAAAAAAAAAAAAAAGCTGGATTTAAACTGAGGGTGTAAGGCATCTATTCTCTCCATTGTTTTATAAAGAAATTTTAAGTGGATGCATATTTATAGAATTTTACCACTCTAGACAAGCAAGAAGATGAAAGAGACAGAGTTATGGAATATTTTCAAGGCAAGATGATCCTTTAAATTTTAAGTACATTCTCAAACACAAACCAAGTGCTGCCTCTGAGTTCCTGAACAGATGTTCTTTCTTCATCTCTGAGTCAATGAATGGGCAAGGGTCTGCTTGTGATGTGCACGTTAATTGCTGGTATGTAAAAGGGAGTGCTGGAAAAGTATTTGAAAGTGGTTCTGTCTCTTAAAAAGATTAAAAGTTTCCTCCAGAACTTGGTTTCTATTAATGATTGGCTCAGTAAATATTTTCAAGTAGACAGAGCAGAGATTGTGTCTTCTATCGTCTTAGAACCAAAGAAAGTGCCACAAAAAGGCCCATAGAAACCACTGACATGAGCACTGTTATCACACAGAAGAGGGAAGTGAGGCTCAAAGAGACTGACGGGCTAATCTAAAATTAGTAAGTGGACCGGCTGGGGCTAAACCAAGGCATCTGACTTCCGAGCTATTGCTCTTTCCAGTACTCAAAGTGTTCCCTACCAATGTCCTTTGCACTTACAGCAGATATTCAACAAAAGTGTGGTGATTAACTTCGTAGATTTCTCGGTACCCAAGTTAGGTGGTGAAAGCACCCTCATTTGTTGGATTAAAGCAGAAGTTGGAATCACATCTTTAAGTGAACACTGGTCGAAGGCACTGGCTTAGGAATCAGGACAGAACCTGATCTTACCACTTTCTAACTATGTGACCTTGGACAAGTGACTTCACGTCTTGAATCTGTTGCACCTTTCTTTGTAAAACAAGAAGGGTAACTGGGCTGGTTTGTGGAGAGGATGAAATAAATGAGTAGAAGATGCAAAGATCTCAGCCCATTGTCTGGCACACAGGCAAAGCACTAATGAGGTCACTGTAAGGTGGCCTCTCAGAAAACATAAAACCTGACGATGTTGGAGGAAAAGGTAGCTTGAGAAATGAATATTAAGGATGAGCACTATCTCGCATAAAAGCCGTGAGCATCCCAAAAGGATCTTGGAGACCTAGAGCTTCAAGGACTCTTAAGGATCAAATGGGTTTGAACCTCTCTTCCACTTTGGAAAAGGAAACAAAACAAGGACTGTGGCAGGTGATGTTCACCTTCCAAGAACATTCTCATGCAGATACACAGAACCATGCTCAATTCCCAGGCAACCTGCTACTTAACTTCACGCCCTTCTCATTCACTGAAAAAGCAATCCGAATGCATGAATCTTCAATAAAATATAAAAAGGAAATCATTAGCAAACTTCCATTCTTCCAATTTCATGAGTAATACCTGACTTACTCATTGCTAATCTTATACAGCCTCCTTCATTTAATTGTTGGGAAAACCAAGAGAGGTCTGGGAATCTTAGAGTTATGTTAGAGCTCTCCCCAAATTCCAGACCTCCTGGTTACTTGTGCTTCGCCATTCTCACCATATCAACTCTGCCTTATTAAGACCGTTCCACACCCACTGCCAGGTTATGAATCCCTAGAAGTGAATCTGTCTGTGATGAATGTTTTTCCAAGACAGGCCTTTCTGACACTCCTTACATTTGCCCACCCACAAGACCACCTCCTTATCCAGAGAGTGCACTTACGTGTCCATGAATCTTCTATTGAGGTGTAGAAGGGAGGCCACATCCACCTGGAGAGGAGGGTCCCGGACCACCTTGTACTGCAGGGGCTTACACTCTAGGCAGAGCGGGCTGTCAGCAACGGAGGTCAACATGGCCGCATCAATCTCCAGGTGCTCATCCAATGTGTAGATCTGGATGCCGTACACCTCCTCACCCACATCCCGGAGTTTGATGGTCAATGGGACATCGCAGAAGACGTTCTGAGGGCCCAGGGAGATGTTCTTCCCACTGACAGTCAATAGTTTGATGTCATTGACAGCCCCACTAGAGTCCCAGTCAGTGGAGACAAAGGTTACCCATATGGTTAAAGACTCAGGGACCAAAGGGTAGCGAAATTCCAGTTCAAGGTAGCAGCCCTGTGGCTCAGGGCAGGCTGGAGGGACTGTGTGTGGGTTGACAGCTGAATTTGGGCTCCAGGTGCGGACACTGGACTTACAGGGCTGTTCAACATCTGGATGACCTATGGAGAAGAGATGAGGGTATGAGTTCCTGAAAGCCCTTCAGTCTGGTCCTTGGAGCTTCCGGTACACAGTAGGAGAGACTGGTCTGACTAGAGCTCAGACAGAGGTGAAAAGAGAGGGAAGATTCTCAGTGTTTTGGTGAATCAGTTGTATGCAAAGCATCCAGCCCATCTCCACCCTTGCAATACAGATCTTGGATAAATCACAAAACATTTGCTCACAACTACATTCAAGTAAGTGTCTTACTATTGAGTCAATTCCCTAACTTTCTTTCTTCATTCCCTACTTGCAGGCTTTGCTGCCCCAGATGGAAAGAAGGAAGGGACACACATTTGCTTAACACACATTTGCTAAACATCGCCTGAACTTGCTTATTTCTTGCAAAGACTCATCTCAGAGGTGAGGCAACTAAGGCTCAGAAATGTGGAGTGGACTGATCAAAGTCTCACAGCTTGATGTGAAGGTCAGTCAGCATTGGAACCCAGTTTTGTCTCATCTTGAAGTTCATACTCTTTATTCTCCCTACTGCATGCAGAGGCCACAAAAATAAACTAGAATCCTTATAGTACTGCTTTCAGTACAACCTGCTTCAAATGACAGAAGAACCAGAAACCTCCAGCAAAGAAGAGATGAGTGCAGATAGTTCCTCCCATTGGATTGAGGATTCTGGGAGGGAAACTGTGTAGAACCATGAATGACAGAACTGGAAGGCAGCCCTGGAGCCATCTTATCTCTCCTCCTCCTCTTTACCACATGAGGTCATTCCATACCACTGAGCTTCTCAGAGCTCTGTCCAGTCTGACTCAGGAAAGGGGAGGGTTGGGTGAGGCAGGGGAGGGGGGAGAAGGAAGGAGGGATTCTTCTACTCTTTCCCCAGGGAGACAATGCCTCATCCCCACTGATCTCAGCCTGCAGTGACTTCTGAATTTTTCTCTGATGAGATCATGTAGTCCTAGACCCTTAGAGAGCTCTCCTTTGCACTGCTGAGAAAAGTAATCATGACTCTGTAATGATCAGCTCTGATTTGTTTAAGGGAATCTAACAAGAGATACAGATCACTGGTGAGGGTAGGACGCAGGATCTCAAGTTGTCCTATCAGCCACACTTTTTTTCCATCTTTTGGTGGCAAGTGGGATGCTGGGTATTTATAAATCAAAAGGGAAAAGGCAATCTTTGCTGGAAATGGATTTGTGGTAGTGTTACAGCATCATAGGAATTGCAATGTGAAAACTAGAAAACCATTTTGGGTAGAAAAGCTATTCCAGTGAAGACTATAAAAATGCCTCCAATCTCCATGCCTCTGCCCAGCCAAGGGAGAAGAGAGAAGACATCAAGTGGAGATGGAGAAGAGAAAAAGAAAAGAAAGTGGGTGGGTGGGGGCGGTTGAGAAGAATTCAAAAGACTTTTTAGATAGAACACATCAGAGCAGGAATAAATGGATATAACTACTCCACCATTCCTAGGCAAGGTTCATCCATTTCAGCAAATGCTGGCTAGAAGTGACCAGTGATTTAAGTCAAAGGCACAAATAAGACTCCCTAGTGAGGCTGAAGCTTTTCTTCGTGTCGACTCTCCAACCCGATGGAGTCCCTGATTGTCTTAGCTTTATGAGTTGTTGGCACATACATTATCATTTATTCACCGAGCTTTCCTGAGGGCAACATTTTAATGTATATGGAGCACATTCCCTAGCCATTAATGTATTCATCTGTTTGTCACCAAGATCCTGTAAGACAGTTATCATTTTTGTCTCTCATATCTCTGTTTCACTCAATGACAGGTAGCCTTTATTTAATATAGTACCTGGTCCATAGACAGTGATGATAGTGGATATTCAATAAATATTTGTTAAATGAAGAATCTTCTATCTTGCTAATATGGAGTTAAAAAAGCAGCGAGCACTTTGTGGAATGCAGAAGCCCATTGCGTTATGGTGAGTGCCAGGTGAACATTCCACCTCCTCCTCGCACTTTCTCTTGGAACTGGAAAAGGATGCAACAATCTTTCTCCTTCCTTGGAGAAAACGGCTATCAGTGATGGGAGCCACAACAGAGCAAAGATGACAAATGTGTCTGTCCCCTGCCTTCTCCCTGATTTCTTGTTAATCAACAGAGGGACCAAATGCTTTTCAAAGGACAGTAAGGTGAGCCTGGACCTTACAGTCAAGTAGGTAAAGAGGAATGGAGATCTTAGCAAAGCTTGTGCTTGTACTGTCATCAGAGACAAACTTTTACATGTCAAAAAGAGCCTCAGGGTTATAGAGTCCAGCCATCACCAATGCAGCAACCCCTTGAACCATGCCAGGCTCCACGGACTGACCATCCTGAGTTCGGTGCCACGCCAAACATGTTACATGCCTCATTTTTGCAATAAGTCTATGGCACAGGTCTTAAGAAACTCATTTTCCAGAAGAGGGAACTGAGACTCAGATGGTTAAGTCACTCCCTGATGGGGAGCAGAATATTATGTGATACTGTTCATCCAGGCAGCATGCCAAACTTTGAAGCAATGGAAGCTGGGCTGAACTATAAGCTCATTGTGTCCTCTACTCTGATGATACCTACCTCACAGGGGTGCTATAAAACTCAAAATGGGATGGTATACTTATTAGATGTCACAAATAGATTAGCTCTGTTATGAAACATAAGGAGGAAGGAACGGGGAAAAGCTTGGGAGGAAGAGGTAGTCTAAGCAAAGAGAACAGCTGAGAGTGAACAGGAACAAAGATGACTATGGTTGTGAGTGCAAGGGAGAGTAGCAAGTGGTGAGGCCAGAAAGCTAAACATAACCCAGATACTGGAGAGTCTTGTATGGCGCTTTAAAGAAACTGCACTTTATACTGAGAAGGATGGAGGGGCTAGTGAAAAATTTTAAGCAAACAAGTGAAAATTATCTTTTAGCAAAACCACTTTTTAGAGTCACAGATACTATCTATCCATCTATGTATTTGTCCATCTATCTGTCCGCCTGTCCATCCATCCATCCATCCATCCATCCATCCATCCATCCATCCGTCCATCCATCTGTCCGTCCAAAGAATGATTACTGACTGCCTGGTCTGTGCCTAGTGCTAGGCTAGTCCCTGGGAAAACAGGTTTCTATACACATGGCCTCTGCCCCCATGGAGCTTCTAGTCTAGTGAAACCAGGTGAGAAATGATTGTACTAACACAGACAATCACACCTGTGGCTTGGACAAGGGACCCTAAAAAGAGATGAGGACCAACCCAAAGTGCCTAAGAGGGAAAAAATGAACAAGGCTAGAAAGTTGACTGGGAGTGACTGTGAGGCAGGGAAAAGGGCAGAGAAAAGGGGGAAAGGGAGGAGAAGGGAAGGAAGGAAGGAGGAAAAAAGTAAGAAGGAAGGGGGAAGAAAGAAAAGCATGAAAGTACTGTTACTTCATTATTAATACCTACCCTTTTGTATATACGGTGATTACATGAAAAGGTACATGTTGATACAAGCTGTGCACTAGAAATGAGGCTACATATGTGTGAAATATATTTATATATACTTATGCTGATTTAAATGTACATTTATGAAGATCCATACAGACATCTATTATATATCTTTGTGTATAAACCCTGCAGCTGTTGACACAAATATAGTTATAAAAACTTAGTGCCGAGTTTTTCCAGATGAATACTTCAGCACACCTGAAATATTATGGGCAGAAAAATGGGGGAAAGGACTCACACAGATAAGAAAAAATGAAAACAGCTAGTGCCATGTGTCACTCTCACGGAAAACCCAACATTTGCAAGGTGTTACATGCTTGGACATGTGATCTTACCAGAGATGTGAGTTGATAAGGCTTAACTATCTCAGTCCTGGGTGACAAGTGTCCATGGTATTAAACACCTCAAGAAACACTCAACTCTGAAATACAGTTTTTGCTCAAGATATAGGAAAACAGGGTTTCTTCTGAGTCCAATCACCTTCTGTGGCCAAAGGCAAGAATTTCTGTGACTGTATTTATCTGAAGTTCATGGAACAGAGTTAATGGAACACCACATATGTGCAATAAATATTTGTTAAATGATAAATATTCTATCTTATTAATGTGGGGTTAAAATAAAGAAGTTACAGCTCTGTGGAATATTAGAGCTAGAGAGAACGTTTATTCTGTGCATGAGATGCTATCTTCAGAGAAGCTAAGTGACTCATTCAAGGGCACAGAGCACATTAATGTTGGGGCTCAGACCAAGGTCCAGTCCTCTTTATCCCCCCACCCCAAAGATCTGTCTGGCATTGCTCATGGATTTGAGAGTTTTATGTTAGTTTGGGAAGCCTAAAAACTTAAACATGCAAAGATAAATAGGATGAAAATGAGTTGAGAAATATATTGCAGAGTTTGGCTCATGGAAAAGTTTATTTCTTCAAGGATATTAAAAGGGTCTCAGCCAAAAGGATCACACAGCCTGTAATAGGATGCTCTAAAAAAAGAACAGTGTCTTTTCCTGGCCTGCATGCACTAAATTTACATATTCTGAAGGAAAACCCAAGGCTGCTGGGTTTCCTTGCATGCCTGAGTCAGCTCAGGGAACGAGGGGGCTCAGCACTTCCAGTTGAACTCTGCTCTACATATCGTGCTTTAAGAAGGTCAACAGCAAACCAGGAACAGACTTAACCGATTGACAGTTGGGTTGGATGGAGGTGTGGGGAGATGTCTGAAAATTATTTCATTCATGCAACTGGTAGAACAAACCAAGATGTTTTAGCCAGAGAAGTCTCAGTGGAGAGTCTTGCTGATTATACCTCCTAAATATCTCTCAATTCCATTGACTTCTCTCCATTTCTCACTGCCACGGACCACACCCCGGCCACCACCATCCCTATTCCAGATTCCTGCAACAGCCACTGCTCCCTTTCCCCCAGCACACACTCCTCAGGCTCTTCACCACAGAGCAACCCACGCAATCTTGACAACATGTACATCTCACCATGCAACAGACTCCTGCCAAGGCATGTGGTGCCTCCTTGCTGCCCTCAGTAAAAACCCATCGTTATCCACTCATTATAGAACACTCAGTCCAACCTTCCCCGACTCCACACCTTACTCTTCATGCTCCAAACCCTCTTAATCTCTCAGAGCATTACTGAAGACCTTCTGTTTATGAGGGTTACATCTACTAGTAGTTGCCATACTATCAATGAAAACTGAGAAACTTTAGAACACAAAAACACATACGCATGTGCTCTATTAGCTATTGGAGCAGTAATAACATCGCATTCCATGAAGGACGGGAAAGCTCCATTCTCATGAGAGACTGGGAGTGGAAATGGTAATCAGTATCATAGAATCATTATGAAAATAATTTTGGTCTTTGAGGATACCCTATGAAGTCTCTAGGAATGCCATAATCCTCCAGATCAGACTCAAAAAACCACTGTTCTAAACATACCCAGTTTCTTTCATGTTGTCAAATGTGCCTTGCTCACTGGCGTGGTGACATTTCCTGGGTGGCCTTAGTCTCAGTTCTACATGAGGCCAGCTTCTCACTGCTCCCCCCAGCACTCTGTGCTTCGATCAGCATGGGCCTCACTGCACTGGATGGTTACCATCCAGCACCCCTGTTAGATGGCCAGCTCCGCCTTGCCCCATGCACCCAGCACAGTGCCAGGCACACAGTTCCTACAGTGGTCACAGGTGAGACTTGTTCATTCTGTGCGCACACAATGTGTTGTCAGCTGGAAGAAACATGCATTTTCTTCCAGGAAAACCCAAAGTGGGTTCTGCTGGCATGGAAAAGTCACGACTGTGGATTTCAGGAAGAACTTTCTAACGAATGGAAGGCCAAGGAATGTATGAGCTGGTGCTAGGAGAGCCTCAGTAAGGGAGGGCAGGAGGGGGATTCCTGCACTGGGTGGGAACTGGGGCTGGATGACCTAGCCACCCCTTCCAAGTCTGACAGCCTGTGATTCTGTGAGGCTGAACTGAGGGCTTCTCCCAGACATCCCTCTTGCTTTACATTCCAGATGGATTTGTTTAGAGTTCCCAAGTTCAGCTCTCATTTTTATTTTAAGCTACTTTAGAAGATAACAAAGTACAGTGCTGTCATTTTTCTCCTTCACTTTCCTCTCTGATCCCTCTCCCTTGCTTTATTCTCTGGCTTTTTCTTTCCAACCTCCTTTCTAAAAATATAAAGGAAAAGAGGGGAGTTCTCACTGAACCTCAGTGAGGAATCAGATTCTGCTCCCTCTGATGGACTGTGGTCCCCACCCAGGGACCATGGACATGAGCTGCCCTGCACAGAAGCAAGAGGGACCGGGCGGTTGGGGGGGGGG